CTATGGGGCCAGTGACAGTGGGCACTAATGAGACCATCACTATGGGGCCAGTGACAGTGGGCACTAATGAGACCATCACTATGGGGCCAGTGACAGTGGACACTAAGGAGATCATCAGCCCCTGGAGTCAGACCCCAACCCCAGCTCCTTCGATCCCCTTGGGAACTATTGAATTGCCTTTTTGGGGGACTTCTGCTGGTACCAGCATGACCACCCCTGTACCTGAGTCTACAACCTCTCAGCAAGTTTCCAGCAAGACCTCGGTACTGGTTCCAGGACAACCAGATGTAGCCAATGACCCTCCTGTCACTGCAACCAATCCTGTGACAGACAGAACTGTGGCATCTATCGCTCTAGAAACCATTAAAGGGCCCAGTGCACCCCCAGTCACTGTGACAACAAGCTCTGCAGAGACCAGTGGACCCTCTGTGGCTACAACAGTAAGCTCCAAGACCAGTGGTCCCCCTGTCACCATGGCTACTGGGTCTCTGGAGCCCTCTAATGAGATGCATGGACTCCCTGCCACCAAAGCAGCCAGTTCTGTGGAGAGTTCCAGTGTGGCCCGTGGCACCACCATCTCCAGCATAAAAACATCCACGATGTCTACTCCAGATCCCATAACCACTAGATCGCCATGGCAAGGATCAAGTGGCATGTTGCTAGTGCCCATGCTCATTGCCTTGATGGTGGTTTTGGCCCTCGTGGCTCTACTGCTGTTATGGCGCCAGAGGCAGAAGCGCAGGACTGGGGCCCTGACCCTGAGCAGGGGTGGAAAACGAAATGGGGTGATGGATGCCTGGGCCGGGCCAGCCCAGGTTCCTGATGAAGAAGCCACAACCACGTCAGGGTCAGGGGGCAACAAGGGCTCTGGGGTGCTGGAGACAGAGGCCTCCAGACAGCGGCCCACGCTCACCACTTTCTTCAGCAGACGGAAGTCTCGCCAGGGCTCTTTAGTACTAGAAGAGCTGAAGCCTGAGTCAGGTCCCAACCTGAAAGGGGAGGAAGAGCCACTTATGGGCAGTGAGTCTGAAGCTGTGGAAACCCCAACTTCTGACGGGCCACAAGCCAAAGATGGGGCTGCACCTCAATCTCTATGAGCAACAGGCGTTCGTCCAACCTGCTCCTTAACCCTGGATCCTGCTGTCAGCTGCCTCACACTCCGCATTTGTGAATATTTGTGGACTAAATTCATTCATCATTCATTCATTCTTCATCCATTCATTTCCTCTCCGCCTCCCACACGCCCATCTCTCACCTCCCCTTCCTCTGTGCTGTGCTCCCTTTGCAACCAGTTGCTGAATCTCCATGGGGATACTCTTAGCTGACCCACATTTTCCCGAAGGATCCCCCTTGGAATGCTGGGATCTGACAAGAAGAATGAAATGAGGAACCAGAAAACTCCCCTGAATGGGGCTGTGGAGTACATGCACACATGCCCTCCCCAGCAGGGCCCCTTCAGGACTGCCTCTCAATTACCGTGGGCCAGCTTAGAGCCTGGATAGGGCTATCCAGCTTGCTCTTGGATGAACTGTGACCTGTGACTTTTCCCAGAGCACTCTGATTTGGGGCTGGCTGGTAGCTGCTGCGGGGAGCCTGCCAGAGATTGTCACTTCTCCTTGGGGTAGGGATGAGGAGAGTTTCTGGCTCTATGTAGTCCCCACATCTGCTGTGTCTACTCGGAAGTATGGTTTGTGTGCAAGGTAGGATAATTTAGGTGATGGCTGCAAACAGTACTGGTGAATACAGACCATGGGAGAGAGCAGGGCAGGGCTGGTGAGTTCCGAAGGGAGAACGCAGGAGCTACTGAGTGCTCAGATCCCTTCACAGTGCTCAGTCAGGGTACGGCTGGAAATCTGGAAGTCTGTCTGTAGCCTCCAGAAGAATGCTCAGGGGATGGGGACTAAATGTGCCATCAAGTATAAGTTCTTCAGCTAAGCTGCCAGATCCCCTCAAAGGCTGCCTCATGCCAGCACACACCCACACCTCACACACACCCACACCTCACACACACCCACACCTCACACACACCCACACCTCACACACACCCACACCTCACACACACCCATACCTCTTACACACCAGCAGGCACACATGCAAGACAGGGAGAAGAGTCAGCCCAGTGCAGGGACTGGCTTTGATGCTTCCCCTACAGGCTCAGTTTGTCTGTTTCCTCTTCCATTCCAAGGCTTAAATCCTTCCCTTGTCTCAGGGGAATAAGAGAGAGTTAAATGAAAGACAGTCCCAGGGGGTGGGACACGGATGCCAGAGAGTCCCTAAGGGTCTGAGGTAGAGAGAGGGGACAGGCCACAGTTGTGCTGCTTCTGACACTCCGGCCTGATACCAGCCCGGCACGTGGTCCAAAGGCAGTTGCTGGAGGAGATGTGTAAGAGGAAGTTGTTGAGTCAGAGGGCCCTGTCCTTGAGAACAGTCTGACCTACAAAAGAGACTCGCGGTTGTGTGTGGTCTGGATGGGAAAGGGGAAGGTGGAAGGGAGGGGACAAGAAATGGAAAAGGACATAGATCAGCCGTCACCACATCAAGCCATCACCGTCCCCTCCCTGAGTGTGTGGAAAAGAGGAAGGACTGAGATGGGCACACCTGGGCCACACTGACCCTATCTCTACTGCTCACTAGGTGCTGTGTAGACCAGCCACAACAGACATGGCTCAAGTGAGCTGCGATGTCCCTTAAGGAACGCAGCAACTGTTGTGGCTGATTTTTGACAAACCAAGTGTCCCGATTTCAGGCTTAGAAAAGAATGTCACCAAGCTGAGAGGTCAATGGCTCAGCACATCTTGTTCCACTGTCACTTCTGAGGTGTTTCAGGTTTTCAGGTGCAGGAAGGAAGACAAGGAAATGAGGTAGAGATGGTGGATAGCACCCAACAGGACCTTAGCCCAGACAGGGTCAAATGTTCTGGGTGCTAAGTGGAATGACAGACAAAAATGTCACAAGAGGACCCAAACTAGGGAGTGGTTGGTATTCTACCTCTGAAGGAAGACCAGGAAGCTTGATGTTTGTCCCAGGGTCTTGGCCACATGTCTCTTCCTAGTGGCTCCAGTGCCTGCAGGCAGTGGGTACTCAGTGCATGCTTCCATGAATGAATGAATGAATGAATGAATGAGGTGTTGGCAGCAAGAGGAAGGCGTTTAACACAAAGACGAGTATCACAAAAGTATACAAGTGAGTGGAGCAGGGACCATGGTGGGCACAGACAGGTGTCCTTCAGCTCAGGAGAGAGAAAGCCCAGTAAGCAGTAGATACGGGAAAAGCAAAAATAGAAGAAAAAAAAGCAGGCCAACAGAAACAGGGAAATGTAAAACACGGTGACAGTTTTAACTCCATCAGTTATGAAACTATAGTAAGTGGCTTGTGTTTGTGGCATCCTGGCCTTGATTTCAGAAATGTGTAATGACCTCAGAAATGCCTGCAGCTGCCACGGGGTAGGAAAAAGTAAATGATGTGTAAATACATATATATCATCTCATTTGTAATAGAAGCTAAAGTCTGAATGTTTAGTGTGGTCCTCCTGAAGGTGGGGAACCTAAGTGTGATTTTTCACCTTACTTTTCTGTGTTTTACACAATAAATGTCTTTACTTTTACAGTTATGAAAAATATTGGTAAGGGGGCTGGGAAATGGCTCACTGGTTATGAGCACTGGCTGCTCTTCCAGGGGACTTAGGTTCTGTTCCCAGCACCTAAGATGGCAGCTCCCAACTGTCTGCAACTCCAGTTCCAGGAGATCCAATGCCCTCTTCTAACCTTCAAGGGCACCAGGTATACATGTGGCACACATACCTGTAGGCAAAATACCCATACACATAAAAATAAATAAATCTTTTTTAAAAATGGTGAAACAGATGATTCTTAGAGAGCCAGGGAGGGGAGGGCGTGGTTGTAAGAGAGCCATGGAGGGCCTCAGAGGCTTGAGTTGTCTTCTGAGTGTTGGGGTGGAAGGGGCGAGGCATCCCATCAGTTCCATGGAGCCTCTGTGGACAGTCAGTGCCATTCTTCCTCCCGTTGCCAGGCAACATGTCTAGAGACATCCTCAAACTTCCCAGTGCTTGCTTCCCTGGTCCTAAGTCCATGACCCTCCCACAAGATGTCCCTCCTCCCTGGGTCCTCCCTTCAAGTCTCTTCTGTGTTCTTCTGAGGTCCTTTTACAGTCCCACCCCCACGGTCTAGTTTATTTTTGTTTGTTCTTCTCCTCTCCCTTTCTCCTCTTCCTCTTCTTCTAGTTTTAGTTTTTTGTTTTTGTTTTTTGTTTGTTTGTTTGTTTTTGTATTTTAAGACATGTAGCCTGGGATGTCCAACTGGCCTGGAACCCCTGACCTTTCTCCGTCTATCTCCCAAGTGCTGGGATTACAGGTGCACACTACCATATCCAGCTATTATTTGCTTTGTTTTAAGAAGGAAAGGTTATTTTGGATTATTGATTTTGCTGTGTTTTGAGACAGGCAGGGTCTTACCATTAGCCCAGATGTCTTGGGAGTCACTCTCCTCCTATGTCAGCCTTCCAAGTGTTGGGAGTACAGAAGTATTCAGCCATACCCGGACAAATTTTTATTCTATTTTGAATTGGTTTTATGAGATATGTATATATCATCTCTATCAATATATGCACAACACAGAGTTATCAAATCAGGGTGATTAACATCTCTGTCCACTCAGATATTTATTTGTGGCAAAATGTTCAAAATCCTTTCTTTGAGTCATTTTAAAACATAAACCATGAGCCAGTCCTGGTAGCACAAGCTTGTCGCTCCTAGAACTGGGAAGTATGACAGAAGGATCAGGAGCTTAGGAACATCCTGGGCTACACAGCAAGTTTGACGTAATCCTAAACTACATGAGAACTTGTCTCAAAATGAATACCTGAAACTCAAATAGTTCAACAGCTAAATAATCACAGGGCTGGATAGATGGCTCAGCCATTAAGAGTAAAGGCTAGGTGGTGGGAGCACCTGCCTTTAATCCCAGCACTCAGGAGGCAGAGGCAGGCAAATCTCTGAGTTCAAGGCCAACCTGGTCTACAGAATGAGTTCCAGGACAGTCAGGATTGTTACACAGAAAAAGCCTGTCTCAAAAAAAAAAAAAAAAAAAAAAAGGCAAGGGGAGATGGCTCAATGCTTGAGAGCACTGACTGCTCTTCCAGAGGTCCTGAGTTCAATTCCCAGCAACCACATGGTGGCTCACAACCATCTGAAATGGGATCCAATGTCCTCTTCTGGTGTGTCTGAAGACAGCAACAGTGTACTCACATATATAAAATAAATACATCTTTAAACCAACCAACCAACCAAACAAACAAACAAACAAACAAAACCCTAAAAGCATGTGGGGATGGGGGTGGCGCTGGGAAGCTGACTCACTGGTTAAAAGTGGTAGCTGCTCCCCCAGAGGATTTGGATTCGATTCCCAGAAGCTCACAACTGTCTGTAACTCCATTTCTAGGGCATCTGACACCATCACATATGCATGCAGGCAAAACACCATTGCACATAAAATAAAAATTAATATATTAAAACTGTCCCGGTCTACATAGCAAGTTCCAGGGTGGGAAGGGCTACATAGTGAGACCCTGTTTAAAGCATTTTTCCTGGTTGAGTTTGGCATCCAGGGCCCCTGGCTAGCATGAGCAGTCCCTGAGCAGGCAGTAAGGGTCTGCTCTAAGGACACCACACCATGACGCAGGGGGCCCACTGCTCCAGGTCAGAGCCTGGGGGTTTCCTTACCTTGGGATCCTGTGTAATGGGGGAATGAGGCAAGGGGAGGACAAGCCTTGAGGACAGGCAGCATCCTTTAGGTATCTTTCCCTGGTGGGATCTCCTTCTCAGGGAAGGGAAGGGGCAGAGGCCTCTGCTGGCCTGTCAGGGTCAGAAAATCCATAGGGATCTACCAAGTTCCACCCTGGAACTTGTTTTGGGATCTCCTCATTTCTTCTTAAGTTTCTGGTTGCTTTAACTGATATTTTCTCTCTCTCTCTCTCTCTCTCTCTCTCTCTCTCTCTCTCTCTCTCTCTCTTTCTGTGTGTGTGTGTGTGTTTGTGTGTATATCTGGTTGCTTTAACTAATTCTCTGTGTGTGCATGTGTGTAAGTGTGTATGCTTCTGTGTGTGTGTGTCTATGTATCTGTGTGTCTGTATGTTTGTGTGTGTGTGTGTGTGTGTGTGTGTGTGTGTATGGAGGCTAGAAAAGGATATAAGATCTCTTGGAGCTCAAGTGATAGGCAGTTGTGAGGCACTTGGTGTGGGTGCTAAGAACTGAACTCTGGTCCCAAGTTCTAACCACCGAGCCATCTCTCCATCTCTCCAGGCTCAGTTTACTTTATGTGGTTCTGAGGATGGACCTCAGGTCCTCTCACGCTTGTGCATCTAGCAACTTAGTATCCAAGCCATCTCCTCCCACTTTTAAATTTCTTTAAACTATAAACTGTCGTCATAACTGACCACATTCTTAATATCATCATCACTTTGCGCTGTCTTGTTTTGTGGGTCACATTCTTTCTTACATGCATCAAAACTCATACTGTGAGCTAGAGAGATGCTTCAGCCTAAGAGCGTGTTCTGCTCTACAGTGGCCCCAAGTTCAGTTCCTACACCCATGTCACGTGACTATATCCACCTGTGAGTCTGGCCCTGGAGATTCAATGCCTTTTATGGACACAGCATCCGTGTGCACATTCTGTAACTCAGATGCCCAAAACACAAGCACACTGCATTTTAAATAATAAAAATCAATCTTACCAGGCATAGTGGCACACACCTTATATCCTAGCACTTGAGAGTCAGAGGCAGGTGGATCTCTGTGAGTTTGAGCCTGGTGTACAGAGTGAGTTCCAGGCCAGCCATGGCTATTACACAGAGAAACTCAAAAAGGTCATGGCTATGGGACTTGGGAGCACTTGCCTAGTGTCTGATTCTGGATTCTGTTGTCAGCTCTGAGAATGAAGGGAAGAGCGGGAGGGAGAGGCGGGGAGTCACAGCTTCAAACAAGCTTTATTCTCCTAAGTGAAAATTCCAGATAGAAGATCTGGATAGGAGAGGTTCTACAAAACCCCACGTGAGAAGCAGCCGGTGTGTAGCTATGAGAGCACTCTTCTCCTAACAATAAGGATTCATAGCCACTTTTTTTTTTTTTTTTTTTTTGAGACAGGGTTTCTCTGTATAGCCCTGGCTGTCCTGGAACTCACTCTGTAGACCAGGCTGGCCTCGAACTCAGAAATCCGCCTGCCTCTGCCTCCCAAGTGCCGGGATTAAAGGTGTGTGCCACCACTGCCCGGCTTCATAGCTACTTCTATTTTTTGATCCCACTGCTGACCTGACTGTTTATCCAGTGGTGGTAGGCAAAGCCTGGGATGGAAAGACAGGGCTCCCTGGGACAGGGATGGAGGGTCTCTGTCAGCCCTGACCCACCATGTTCAGACTGTGTCGCAGGGTACAGAGCTCCCACTATTAACAAGCAAGAAAGGAATATGATCATATGGTTCTAAACCAAAGTGGAAACTAAATTAGGAGAAACTGGTTCTTTAGGAGGAGGACTGTACAGTGGGAGGAGCTTGCGGTGAGCCATCTAGTGTTCTCAACAGCAAGTTACAAGTAGGCCCTGCGTGCCCAGCTCTCTTCCTATGGTTTGTGACATCAAGACAGGCTGGCTGCACCTTGGCCAAGATCCCAGTGAAAACAGAACCGATAGCCAAGAGAGCCACCCGCTTGCCTTTGCGTTTGTACAGGCTCTGCCCAAAGCCAGCCCACCGCCAGCTGTCCCCGCAGTACACCCATGTGACTTCTCACCAGACTCCTCTTCAACCATGAAGCTCTGACTTAAATGTCATTCCTTAGTGAAGTTGTCCCCTTGCCCTGCCCCCTCTGCAGACAGACTGTCTACACTCCCACAGGTCCTCCAGTGATGGCATGAATGACTAGACTGTATGGTTTTTGGTTTTTGATTTGTTGGTTTTTTGTTGGGGACAATCTCATATGACCAAGGAGTGGCTTTGAACTCACTATATAGCACGGAATGACCTTAAAAACTCCCTCCCCCACTTCTGTGTGTGTATGTTCCTGTGGAGGACAGAGGATGCTATGTTCATATATGCTATATAGACAGTCTCTACAATATTTCCTTGAGATGGGGTTTCTTACTGAACTTGGAGCTGTCAGGCATTTGGGGGTGGGGGGGGGTGAGGCTTGGCCAGTGGCCAGAAAGCAGCAGTGACTCTCTGTCTCCACCACCTCCCCTTGCCCAAGGCACTGGAGTTACAGGAGAGCATGGCCATACCCAGCTTTTTCACATTGGTGCTGGATCCAAACTCAGATCCTCAAGTTTGCAGTCAGTGCTCCTGTACACAGAGCCAACTCCCTAGGCCCTGATCTTGACCTGCTGATCCCCCTGCCTCCACCTCCTGGGTGCTGGCATTGCAGGTGAGTGCCACCATACCTGACATGTGCAGTGCCAGAGATCCCACTCAGGGCACTGAGCAAGTGAGCCACCAACTGAGTTCCAAGGCCAGGCTGTGAGGATGTTAGAGCCTTCCAATGCTGTGCCATCTTTGCAGAGAGCCCAACAGCTAGGCTGCAGAATACATGGTTACTACACAGAGGTG